GGAAGGGATGGCAAAGACCTGCATGGTCATCTCATCCTTGCTCTCCTACCCCAGCCAGGACAGGCTTGTTTTCTATTGGTCTGTGCTCTACTGCTTCTTCTAATAGAGTTTTGAACATTATTTTGAGTTAATAATGGTAATAATGGTGTTGGCAGATATAGGAAAGCAGTCATGGTGCTGAGGATGCTTCTAATGATGTGTTTGTACCCTGTGGTTGGCCTTGTTGCTCTCTGGCCCTTATGGACATAACTTGGGGTCATTCAGGTGTATTCATGCGCTTGGTGTCAAATATATTGATGATGTGGAGACCTCTGAGCCCATTGTGAGAAGAGGAGGCTCACCCAGGCAAGGCTGTCCTCAGGGGACCACAGCTGGGTGGAAGAGGGGCTGTTGGCATATCCCAATAGATGTCAGTGGTGGTGAAAGCAGCAATGATCAATGCGCAGTCTGTGGCATCAATCTTTGCAGTTCTTCAGCTTTCAGTCAAGGTAGCAGCAGCAAACAAAGAATAAACCCCATTTCAATGAACTATTGCTACGTAGCAGAAAGCTCTGTTTTTAACCATGGCAGAGATCCTAATCTCTTTGGATAAAGCCCCAAGCAAATATGGAGTGCAGGGACAGGGTAATGCATTACCTCCCTGGGGAAGAACAGGCTGAAACTCAGGCGAGGCATCGAGTTCCTCGTAAGTTATGAGGCTGTTCATCTGGGGATGGCAATAAGTTGTATTATGGCCTTGCTTGCTCTGCCTTCTTTTTTCACAACACCATCTTTCATTTTAATAGTGGTTTTTCAGCCAGCTTTGTTAGGGCTGCTGCTAATTGGGCTGGATTCATGTGTCCCACCAGGGCCCAGGACAAGCCTGGCTCTGCTTAAAAGGGAAGGGTGAATTTTACTGCCTGGTGTTTTGAATAGGCAGAGCTTTGGGGAGCAGGAGGAAGGGTCATGGCAAGGGGGAGAGAGGAATTTAGGAGAAATTTGAACTCTCTGGCTGCCATGGATGCTCACAGATACTCTCCCTGTGAAAGTGATGGGACCAAGAGTGGCTCCACATGAGTCAAATATCCTTTGGGGAGAAAAAAGCCCCTTTTGTGATTGACCTTTCTGACCTGAAAAGATATGGGGCCACCTCTTTTGCTAAGAAATTTGGTTTAAAAGTTCTTCAGTGCTGGAAATTTCCAATTCAGACCTTCATGAAGTGGTTTTCATGGGTCATCACAGGGAATCAGACCTCGTGGCTGGGACAATTTCACCAGAGCTTTGGAAGCAGCAAAGTTTGTGCCCTCAAAACCTAGAGTTAGGTTTTACTGAGAATCTGTAATGTGCTGAGTGGGGAGCTGGCTGTGTCCTTTCCATTATACTGTTAATAAATGCAAGGACCAGGACAGCTGTGATCCATGTGAGATTTGGCTGCAAAGCAACACTCCTGGCTTATGGCATGCACTTCTACCTGCTGCAGGGCTCTCCAGGTCCCTCAGCACAGTGGCCCTGGGAAGTCAGAGAGCTCGAGGGTTTCTGCTTGAGTTCCCAGAGCCCCTGGGAGACTTTCACAAAAATCCTCCCCCCAGCCTGTCCTACATCACTTTTCACCTCTGTCCTCACTGCCCTACAGTCCTCGCTGGAGCCCTGGGTGTTGCAGTCCTGCCAAGCTGGCTGCTCCAAGGTGACCAGAGTTTCTAGCTCTAGTCTAGTTAGTGGGAGCATCCACTTGGAATGTCTCCAAAAATACAGCTTTGAAAAGTGGGGCTGTTTAATCAGAAGTGCCATCATCTCATTTGCCCCTTCAGTCAGTGTGGCAATGTGTGCCCCCACCTCGCTGTGGGTCACCTCTTTGCCCAGAGGACAGAAGAGCATGGGGCAGGAGATGAAGGACCCCTTCTCCACACCCATCCAGATGAACCAGGTGGTAAAACCAGGCCACTTCTTTGCAAAGGTCTTTCCCCATCAGCCACTTTTGTAGTAACAGTAGACATGTCAGGAAACTGCCCAGAAAGGAAGCCTGCCCATGCCAAACACTTCCCATTTGTAGCTGAGAAACACAGCAAGGACTTTTCCAGTTGGTAAACGGACTGAATTGTAGCACTGCCTTTATTTTAAAGGGCAATCAGCACTGTGGAAGGATTCTCTCTGCCTCTAATATGGCACGTTTGTTAGTTAAAGGCTCAATTTATGGTTAACGTCACATAATAACATATGTCACAGCTCTGCAACTGAGCTGCTCTGTGGCATCAAGAAAACTGTGCCAGAGCAGAAGTGCTGGGAGATGCAAATGGGGGGGAAATAGTGCTGTGAAATTAAATGGTACCCACCAAAATGTAGTGGGGACATTTTCAGTGAAAGACTAAAATCCTGGAACATGTAGTTATTTCAGGTTTTCCCTTCTTGCTCACTTGAGAGGTGGGACTGTTTTATTTGGGTATGGATTTTGTAGGTTCCTTTCAGTAAGGGCTGTGCCCAGGGCCAGTGAGTAGCAATGTCAAACAGTCCAGGACAGATAAACCAGGCTGGCCCATGAACCACTCTGTAAACCTGGTATTAGGGCAGGGAACACTCAGAGTTTCCGTCAGGCAAGTGGAACAGCCTGGATGTGTGTGGGGCAATGAATGTGCTGGCCCAGCCTGCTGCTTGGACTGGCCCTGGGCTGGAGCACGGCTTTAACTCCAACACCAAGCACTGCAGTGACAATCTCTTACTGTCACTTAGCTAAAGCAAAGAAGATGAAAATGTCACCACTGTGACCACCCTAGTGATGGCTGCAGGCCACGATCTCAACTGTTGCCATGCCCACTGCTGACAGTGAGTGGAAAATACTTTCTTGGGGAAGAAAGTTTTCTATCAGTAGTTGCAGAGTGCTGTGTCCCTGCTCTTTGTTGAGCCAGGCTGTCACCAGAGAGATCAGAAATCATTTATTTTTAACGCTATGAATATGTAGAAACTTGTCTGCGCTTCTGCACGCAGCGGTCATGAATTTAGAAACGGCATCAGGAATCATGGCATTCGGCATCCTGTGAATCGGGTCAGAGTCATAAATTTCTCTTACTGGTGCACAAGCCATTTGCCATACGTGACTTTCTGAATTTGTGGTCATTTCTCTCTCTACCCCTGTGTGCCGAGTGTATGACTGAGATTTTATATTGCACCTCTGAGACACAAAGTCCTTCTGGCGCTTTTGCCTCGCATCCTAAACAGGCTCACTCGCTCTCCTGCCGGTCCCCTTGGCTAATGGCTTCTGGCCACAGCCTGGCCCTTAAATCACGGGCTGCACCTGGACAGGCATAAACTGTGACTCTCCCCAGACAGAGAGGATTTGATTAGAGTGGTGAGGGATGTGACTGAACACAGGCGCTCAGCCTTGTGAGAACAGCTGCTCCTACACTGGGCCCGAGATGGGTCCTCTGGCACGGGCACTGAAGGCAGGTCCTACAGAGACCTCTGACACGTTCACTGAGCCTTTCCAAGGACAGTCATTCGGAATACAAAGGGAGGAATGTTCAGTGTGGATATCGTGGGGGTGTGTTAAGATGATCTGTGTGATGGGAGGAAAGCTTAAGCTAAGGAAGTTCACACTGTGGGGATTGGAAGATGGTGCTGCCACCTCCTCCACTTCACTGCCTGCGCTTTTCCTCCCCCACCTCTATCTGTTCTAGACATAAAAGCTTTTTTATTGCAAGATTGGTTTTGCTCAGTGAATTAAAAGGAAGCATTTGCAACCCCTCCACCCCAGTGCAAGTGCTCCAGGCAGTAGTTCTCTCCAGTTGGTCCTGGCCCCTCTGGTCAGCCTAGGAAAGACAAGCCCAGCAGCAGGACACAATCAGGCTATTCCCAAACCCAGCTCTGCTGAGGAATGGGTCTCCCCTATTCCACAGATCTGCCCCCTACGAGCCTGGTGAATCACTAAAGGCAGCAGATGCAATTAAGATGTTTCCTAACTAATTTTTAATCCTTTTGGCACAGCAGTGCCAACACGAAAACATGAACTGTATCAAGGCTGTTTATTAAATTCTAGTCTGGCTGCAGTTGTGCAACACCACTGAAACACTTTGGTGCAGTAACATGAAATAAGAAAAGCGGATTTCCTCACATGTCACTGTGAATTTTATCTTGCCAGCAGGTTGCTCTTGAGGGTGGTACAGAGGTGTTATCAGGGTCTGAGCCCAATTATGAGGGTAGAGCAGGACATGGGAAATTGCACATTTCTGGGTCAATGACAGAGCTGGCTCCTTCTACTAACTCAGAGCCACTTTTGAAAGCTAAGGTCTCCAGCAAACTAAAACTGTTTCCATCAGGATAAGGTTTCTGTGCTTGTTAAATGTGAACCTTTGATCCTTTTCAACTTAATCCTCTTCCAAGTGTATTAGGTTTTGGGGGAGATTTTTGAAATGGCAAGGCTTCCTGAATTTCTGATCTATTGTTGCATATCTAGAGCACTTACCATCATCCATCAGGGCCCTGCCAACATGCAATCTGAATAAAAGCAGAGAGAAAGCACCTTTGCCATCACGATTTTTCAACTATAAATTGCTGGAAGTTGATCTTTGAGAAAACAGCACGAGATTCATGTATTTAGTAGGAACAGACACTGGACAAAGGAAATATCAGCCAGAGGGCTGGTGGTGCGGGGTCACAAATGTGGAAACAGCTTGATAATAGAAACTGGTTTCTAGGTGCTAGCAAGACATAAGCAAAGAGAAGTTTTGAAAGAAAAGGTTTCACAGGAGCTGTTCCTGAAGAACTCCTCTGAAACTGAGGCTAAAGCAAATGCCACACTCTGATGTCACCTCAAATAGAAACCAGAGGAGGTAAGAGCACCCCAGAAGATGACACCAGCTTTCTTCCCAGTTTTTTTTCAAGTGTCCAGGCACAACTTCAGACTTCACCCACCTTCTTGCCCATAACTTTTTAATCGAAGAGTGGCCCAGCCTTCAAAAACAGATCTGAAAACTACTATACTTTGAAGAAAGGATGGTCTTGTACAGCAACCACTCACAACCAAAAGAAAAAAAAATTACTACATTTTTATTGTTATAGTAAAGAGTAGGACAGAGACAGAAGGTCACAGCTGCTTTACTTTGCTCCTTAGAGATGGGGAACAGTGCACATCTGGCTTTAAATAATATCAGTAACTTCCCAATGGTCTTTTGTCTCCCAGCCTGAAGAATTCCTGAACTAAAGACTATTTTCTTGTTAAGAGTTTCTGTCTCACTCCAACCTAGAGGTTTGTGACAAAACCGACGTTATTTTGTGGAAGGGAGGAAGTAGATGCATTAGTGAGTGTATTGCCTCTTGGCTGAGGTTTAGGTTTCTTTGAATTTATTATTTCTGATGTGATCAACCGATCACTTACTGACCATTTTACTTTAAATGCGGTCAAGGACTGCAGTCAACAGTCAGTCAATCTGCTCCCACTCTTGGTCCCCCTCTGCTATGTAGCAATGTCCCAGCACTCCCTCCTATCGCCTATCTTCAAACCCCACGTGTGTCACAGCTCAGAGCTGTGGAACACTGCAAAGATCCCCTCGGTACAGCATGGTGGGGGTGGAACTGCGTACTCTCTGTTTTGCTCATAACACTGAGCAGTTCTCTGACTGAACACACCTTTCTCTTCCCAGCCATCACTAACCAGTTATTCTTCTTTCAGCATAACTTCAACCTGCCATTTAGCCATTAAGTGCATCTATCTGTACCTAAAAATTACTTGAAATGAAACATTCAATTATTGCAGAGCTTAAACACCAGAACAAGGCTGCTGTTTGACTTCTTTGTTTCAGCAATGATAAAACACTCCAGCGTTAAACTCCTGTTCTCTCCAACAGCAGCCGAGCCACTAAATTGATGACATGCGGATTAACCAAACAGTCCAGCAAATCATTGGTAGAAAGGGCTGTTTGTGAGGTGCACGGACTGCTGTCTGAATCCATTTGATGTGCAGGCATCTCACAGTCATTACTCATTACCAACTGCTTCCTCCTGCGGTGTAATTTTCCAATATGTTCTCCTTCGTTTTCTCGGGGAAGATCTCTACCGTCGCTTTCAACTGCAGCTGCACCCATCGAGCCCGTTTCTTGAGACTGGGGTAAAACTTGAATCAGATGAGGCCCAAAAGGTACTGTCTGCAGCTCTTCTGCTTTAGATGCTGAAAAGTCAAACCCATGGGTTAGTAATCTGCGGCCATCTGGCTCAGAGCCAACTTCCCTTTTCTTCCTCTTGCACGAGGCACCTGTCCTTTGCTCTGCACCAGCGCTGCTGGAATGTGCCTGCGCTGGCACACTTGTCTTCTGACACTTGAAATACGCAGACACTGCTTGATTCAGGTACTGAAGATTGATTTCATGGGATGTTGCCTCAACCTAAGAAAACACCCAGGATACACTCAGTTAAAAGGAGCCATGTTTCAATTCAGCGCTGCGTGATTATCTTCCATGAATTACTTTTCCTACGTGAAGGGATAGAATTTAAAATTCTTTTTCTCAGGCAGCAGAGAGACTCAGGGGGAGCTAAGCAAAATGTCAGTAATTCTTTGTTATTGCTGCTATAATGGGGGCAATAGAGGGCTTACCTCCGTGGGATTTAGCCAGAGATCTCCATCACTGGGATTTTCTGCTGATTTTATGGCACATACCAGCATTCGAGTTATTGCCTCTTCTACACGGGCTTCATGATCTGCATCCTGCCGCAAGAGAACAGAAAGTTTTAGGAGATAGATTAGCTCTTGGGTCTGTGCAGAAAGCTGAAAGGACTTGGGAAGAACATGAATGGCCTTAGTTTGAAAGCCATACTCATGTATGCAAAGTCAATGAAAGGTTTCAGACTTTTGATGCTCCTGCTCTCATGTACAGCCCCAGCACAGGTGACAGCACAGGCTCATCTGAACTACGATTTGAAAAATCCAGATTCTAGTATGTGTATATAACCTTTTCCCTCATTAGCGTTCTGTTAATTGAATCTGGTGTTTGAAATTACAATGCAACGTTAGCATTTAATTAATGCATGCATTTAAGGAGCTCTTTAGGACTACAATGGCCATGGAAGTGGATAGCACGTTTTTTATATCTACATATTAAATCTAATTTAAGTAGTTAAAACACACAGGATGTTATAGGAAGGCAGTAGCTATCTATGGGCTACAGAGGCACAAAAGTGAGTGTCAAAAAAATTTATGCAATATTTTATCATGTAACAGCAGCTGACATACTTCTTTACTTCTGAACGTCAGCAAAGGGAAAAACATGTTTCCCCTGAAAGCTCTCCTGCAAAACTAAAAACTAAGTTAACAGCAGGCTGTTTCTTTCAGGCCTTCACTTTCTCTATCCTCCCCCTTGGGCAGCTGGATACTAGCTGATGTAGAATAGCAGAACAAAACTTTTTAAGCTTTCTATCCCATTTGAGTTTCTTGTATATGGAAGGCAAGGGAAGGAAATGGAAGACTCTCCAAACACGATGGGTGTGGTTTGGTTAATTCAATGACAAGTGCCTGGAAGCGTATACATAAATTAGCTTTAATCAAGATGCTTAGGCATATCAGTTTTGGACCGGGTCAATCCACAGCCTTGATCAGTCTAGCTGTGGTTTCAGGGAACATATCAAGCATGTGCATCTTGCCAGTATGTGTGCTGAAGGCAGTAATTCAGGCTGGAACCCTGAGCTGATTTGGGGATAGAAGCAGGGGAAAGTGCTCTTGGAATTTTGTGGCTTTGGATGCTTATTAATGTGTATAACAAGCCCCCAAAACACAGACTTTGATATCTACATGTGGAAATTATTTAAGGTGTTGCATTCTTGGTATTCATCCTGGCCTGCTGAGTAACAGGGCTGTACTGATTGCATGACAGTATGTTAGGAAGCAAGGAATACTTTGAGTAGCTTACATCCAGCTGAAAACAAATTAAATTTCTACTCTAAACTCTTGCCAATATAATTAATGGTTTCACTGGGACTATAATTGTCGGTGTGATTCACATCTGTCAATATGAAAGCAGCTGGTAACAGCTGCGAGCAAGAACTGCTTGGTTTGGTAATGGAAATGTTCTCAGTATTGTCTTTCAGCATCCATGTCACACTTTATTTTTACAGATGGATTGCCCAGCACCTAACAAACAGTGCTGCCACCATCAGCTGTACAGATAATTTCTGTAAAAGACTTTCACCTGGGCTGCAATAGCTACATTTTTCTTATAGCAGCTTCTGATACTGGAGGGGGAGGGAGGGGGGAGGTGTAGTTCATTAGTAAGATCCGGTAAATGCTCCTCTGTTTATGATGCCACCCACACAACTACACACTCTTGCTGTCACCAATACAGGATCTTGGTGACTTCTGCAAGACCTTGATGACCAGAACAACCATGGAGTTTAGCTCCACTGGTTTTTTTATTTTTTTTCCCCTTGCAACACATAAGAACAGCTAGAAATAATATAGCTAAGGTACCACCCCAGCACCTGGGAGCTGCCAGCCGAGCACAACTGATCCATCCTGACCTGCTCCTCCAGCAGGGACAATCTGTGAGGCACAGCTCAGGGTGCAAGTGTGTGTGTTGACATCAGGGTCTTTCCAAGCCCAGGGCATAAAGTCAGTTCTTCTGAATTACCTCAAGGGCTGCTCAAATTTAAGGCAGGCTTAAATGGCTGCTCTGCAATATAGTTGGTGCTTTCTCTGGCACTGGACACAGCCTGACTGTACTCAGGGCTACGAAAGACCTCAATATGGGTTGTGGGCCTGATGTATTTGCTAAATACATAGTTTCATCTGGAAAATTTCTCCATGAGGGAAACACCCAAGTGAGCTCCTCTGCTCTGCAAATGCTCGGTTTGATGCTCGTATGAGAAATGTGTCATGTGGTCTTTGAACAGCAGCTGAGTGCATGTGTTCCTTCTCCCTGCAGATTCCCAGCATAATATAATTTTTTAAAGTAGTAAAAAACAAAAAAGGCAATGACTATTTTAGTGGGGCAGCTTTCCCAGGCCATTTCAAAAGATTTTTTTTTTTTTTTTTAAATATTAAGCCAGGATTAATAATAAAGTAATTTGAATCCAAAAACCTTCTGGAGCACTGAGATGATCTAGTGGAAGATATTTGTGCTCATTGTAGGGGGGCTGGACTAGATGATCTTTACAGGTCCCTTCCAACCCAAACTACTCTACAATTCTATGATATCCCTGCAACCACCACATACATTCTGGTTAAGACGAGCAAGAAGAATTAGAGCCTGGGGAAAAGAAAATTAATTATATACTTGAGGAAATCCAACTTTAGGCAAATCAAAACTATCGCAGAGAAACAAAAATTCCAAAATCCTCTTTCACCCCCTTCCTATCACATTAATCTGATTTAAATTCTAATTTAGTTTTGCATGTAAGCATGTCCTTGAGGTGAAGCTGCTGTTGAAACATGATTTCTGCTGAATGGGGTCTTCGGATCTGGAACCTTGAAAGGTTCTTCAGGAAAAAACGTATCCATAAGGGTTCTTCACAGCCTCTGAACACAACACACCTAATAGGGCTGAACTCGGCAGGCAAGGGACAGAAGGCCATGCACACATGGAAGTGCTACATCACCATGACAGAAAAAGGACAATACCAGTTCAATCCAAGAGTTTATGCTGACAGTGATAGGATCAATGGATTCCACATAGTGCCACCAGTGCCTTGGAACAAGCAGGACCTGGAATTGGAGACATCACATTAGGGTTCTAAGGGAAGGCTGAAGAAAGACAAGGTGTTTTAATTATAGGTCATGTGGGATGCAGAGACAGAATGAGGCAAGGAAATAGGGGTGAGAGGTCATATTTATTTATTTATTTTTTCTAAATGCCTTTTTTCAGGACTGAAATGCCCACCCTCTCCTCCCACTGTGTCAATATTATGGTGTAAGAAACGGATGTGATCCAGAGCTGCCTTTCATTCATACTCCTTCCCTCGTGCAGCAGGACTGTAACCTTGTAATTGCTGTAGGTAAGCAAAGTCCAGCCCTACAAAGGGGGTGCAGGTGGAGTAGCAGTGGATCAGGGCATTAGAGAAAGTCTCAGCCAAGCAGGAATTCTTTCGTAGACTCTCCTACCGAGCAGAGTTTCCAGTTCCTTTAGAAGGACTGCCAGCTGGGTGCCCCAAAGAGCAGGTATCCTAATGCTCGTTTGGGTGACTAACAATATGTAGCTTTAATTCTGGTAAATAATCGCCAGTATGAAATTTGTCACTTTTAGTAGATAGGCTTTTAAAAGAAAGTGCCATGATTTCTGGGACAATCTAGTTTAGATCAGAGCTTTATAACTACATCAGGATGATAGCTGTGACATAAAATTGATTCTAACCCACGGTTTCTGAGGTACAAGCCATTGATGTTGTTTTGATGATAGAGGACAAGCTTTACAGATTACTGAACATGAGATTAACATGGCGCTATCAAGAAAAGCATAAAAGATATTTTTTGACAAGGAATAAAAATGGTCAGAGACGGATAAAAATATACACTTCAGAATGGGGAATGTGAAGCAATGATCTGTATCTGAATTGCAGACAATTCTTTTTCTTGGTAGACACAAATTACTTAGGACAATGTTCTGCTACCCAGATAGCCCTGTGCTTCATTATATCAAAACACAGCTAATGAGAAAATGTCTGTATAGGACACAGTGATTGTGGCTCTAGTCCTGCACTTACGGGACACTCAGAACAGAGTCATTTTTGGGCCAGATGACAAAATGTTCTCCACAGGCTTCAATTTAAGTCAAACAAAAAAAGCAGTGGCTCTCTAGAGGTCAAAAACATTTGAAAATTGTACTTTAATCCAGTGCAGCATACAAAACAGAGAAGGAAGACAGACAGTGGAGGATCATTATTTTAAAAATATTACTAATTAGTTATTCCTGCCATCTGTATGAAATCCTACATAGGCTGCAGCCAAAACATGTCTTCTACACTGAACAGGTTTCAGAGTTGAGCTTTTATCACAGAAACATCCACTCTAAATGAAAAGTGCAGCTGCATTAGCAGCAATGGGTTTATCTGTTAGGAGGTGTTAGCCTATGTTTCACTGACTGCAAAATCACACGAGAAAACCCCCAAATGCTCATCTGCTCTATAAGGGATCTTACACCAAACTCTGCTAAAGAATCTGGGTGCCCTCCAAATGACCACGTGTAATGGTGAGGCCTGGAAAACTTTGTTTTACAGCAGAAGAAAGCACAGCTCCTGCAAGTGGCTGTGTGCAACAACAGGATTCGTCCTCTGAGACCTGTGAAGGAAAAGTGAGTTTTGCAACGTGTTGGCGAAGTGGATGAAGACACCAGGGAACTGGGGTATGGCACAGAGGGACTATGTAGCAAGGGAAAACAAGCAAGAGACAAATTAAGGGAACTGTATGAATGTTTCAGTAAGAAAAACAAGATGGAAATTAGGTGCTGGCTCAACACGACTGGCATGAGAATTGAATACAGAATTGCTTTGGAAAGAAGAGGTACTGCCAGGAGGAAAATACAATTCCCCCAACGTGTCTTGTATTTTCAAACCAAGAAGAGGAACTTGGTCTTTTAGAGACAATCAGATTTTACTTCCCAGCAGGTTGAGGGTAATAACTGCGAAGTTGTGCCTTTCTGCAGCTGGCACTGTTTGCTGATGCAATTTATAGAAGAGCCACAAAGCTGTGACTGCAATAGGCAAAAGAGGTTCCATAAAGACATTTGCTCTCCCTCTTATTTTTAAGCAAGCTTATGCATGTCAAAATAAGGATTTATAGCAGGAAGAAAATTGAAATTATCAAAAAGCGAAAGAACTAAAACTTTAAGGAAGATGAAGAAATGGAAAAAAGTGATTAAAACCAAAAAATACATCCAGCAAGCAAGAAGAACTAACAAAAGACCAAAAAACCCCAATAAAACAAACAAACAAACCCAAAAAACAAACAAACAAAACAGCAAAGAGAGAAATACAATAGGATTCTTCTACCTCAGAGTAAGCTGAGAGAGAATCTTGTGCTAGCCTGCTTTCTACAGAACATATCTAACTTTGCAGGCTGGGAGGATACTGATCTAAACAGCAACCAATCAGATAATTTTAATATTTAGGCTAGTGATAGGCAAATATAGAAAATGAAGTCAAAGTAGGACAGAAATCCCAGAAAAGATAAAATGAAATTCTGTAATGGGAGGAAAGAAACCAAGGGAACACTTGGGAGAGCAAGTGGAGCAATGCTGAAGACTTGTACAGCACAGAGAACAGACCAGGCTTGAATTCTCAGTGGGCATGATTAACTCAATACAGTGCAAAGGTAGGGCAAAGGTGGAATTGCTTCAAAAAGAGAGCATACCCTGAAGTGAAATATTATACCAAGAAATTTCTGCTCATTAGAAAAAGGTATTTAGGTAAATGCACATGAAAAGGAAGCCAGTGTGATGGGAGGATAAAGATGTGGGGCCATGGGGGGACCCCAAGGAAATCCCAGAGCTGCCTGTAACCATGGCAATGAAAAATGAAATAGATACAAGCAGAGTTAATTTTGTGGAAGCACCACCCAGGGACTCTGTGGGAGCGCTGCTGCCCCAGCCTATGCCCTGTCCCTGCTTGTGCCTGGCTGTCCTAGTCCTAGTAAGGTGCTCCTTACCCTGCCTCCCTCCTGAGCTGGTGTCTTCCCACCCCCTGAAACTGAGCTCCAAGGGCCACTGATGTCAGAAATGCACAGAGAGCCCCTGGGAAAAGCACAGCAAAGAGGGAGAGAATGGGGCTGTTACATTCCTTGTCCATGGCAACCCTGGCGAGAGACTGAGGGAAGCTCAGGGAAGAGGGTGAGGAGTTAGGAACTTGCAGTTTTTACCTCTGGATTGCCTGGCTTTTGGGGCACTCAAGGGGTTCTCTGTATATGTTACAGGCTGAGTGGTGTTTTTATCACCAATCCTAGCGTAAATTCAGCTCCTGGATTTTTCTGCTTCTTCTGTGATGAAGATGATAGTTCTTGTGTCTCAGGGTTGGGTTAGATTGTCTGCCTTCTCTACGGGGTGAATTGGGGCCAAATGTAAGTTTGGGAGACTTTCATTTGGAGTCTTTCAAATGAAAATTCTTTATTCCTTCCCAAAACAGAATTATCAACCATCTACTACACATGATGCTGTGGACAACTTTGAACCCTCCTTCACTAAAATGACCTTTTAAAAGTATTTTGTATACTTGGAGCTGCAACATTTCACTGCCTTTTAAAAAGCTTGAGTTATTGCATTTCTTGACTTGCTACAACACTTTTTTCTTTGGTATCAATTATATTTTTCTTGGTTATTCAGACTGTACTGCTGTTCCCCACTTAGGCCCAATCTGAAGTTCTCATACCTCTTCTTTAAAGATGGCACATAGGGAAATCCCTCCCTGACTTCATGAAGATTTCTGCTTGCTCACTGTTGGGTTAGAAGTCAGAGGTTTATTTGTGCTGTTGGGAGCTCTGCTGCTGAGCAGGATCCTGTGCTGTGTTAGACGTCACAGCAGGAGCATAGAAAGAGAAAACCTTGCAGGAACTGAGTGACAACTGTATTTATGGACAAAGACTGAGTTCAAGATGCGTCTCTCTAGACTTTCAAGAAAGCAGATAAGCAAAAGCACGGGAGGAGGGCTTCTGAGCAGCAGACCACAGTAAGAGACAGCACACAGTAACGTTGATCTTTTTCTAAAATCAGTATCCTTCTCAGACTCAATGAGACTCTAAGATTAGTTCATTCAGGCCTTTCCTTGCACTCCTGCACTGCAGCTCCTCTGGCTACAGGTTGCACCTGGGGCACAGGACCAGGACACAGGGGAGCTGAGCGCTGCCTCTAAACAGCAAACAGTTTAGGGGCTCCTGTCTGGGGCAGTGTGAGAGACAATGGTGTTGCTCATGGGAGCCCAGTGTCCAAGCTGCTTGCTCTCCATCAGGAGGGCAGGTGTGTGGAGCCTTACATGCCTACCTTCAGATAAGTTTAAATTCACTTTCTAGGCTTTTTCCTGTTGTCTAGTTATGTGAGTATGGATTAACAGCGAGACGGATTAAAAGCAATTACATTAGTGAGCAGGAAGGAAGCAAGAAGCTAGTGAGAAGGGGGGCAGAGGAAAGAATGATCAATGATTTCATACTTGTATAGCATCTCAGTTTTTTGTAGCCTTCTCAGGTGGTGTTCAACTCTCCTATTTTTAATCATCAAAAAAGTTAAGCATCTATGTGCGTAGGCTCCTTTTATAGCCTGGGCTGAAGGACAGGATGGGATGAATGTTCCTGCAGGACTGTAATTGTATAAGACAGGAAGGATGAATTGCCTTGCAGAGGCGCCAGGTTCTTCCCACTGATGGTATGCAGGGCACCTGTCCTGAATGGAGTTTTAAGTTGAGAGTGGCAGATCCTATCCTAACTCTCTTAACACTTGTCCCAGAGCACGGGGTAGAAGGTTCTAGAACAGACATGTTTTGCCCCATCTGTGGTCTTCTAGGCAGCATTTGTATATTTGCGAAAAGAATCAAGGCGTTATCAGAAATGTTGCAGAATTTAGTCAACTTCCTACTTAGCACTGAGCCTTGCAACCACACAGGTTGCCAGATCCAAATATTTATAAGGAGCCCCACTTGTGTGACACAGCTTGAGCCTGTAACTTTGTGGATATAGTCAGGTACTGCTGCAAGCCCTTCACCTACTAAGCTGCCTATTTGAGTAAGCTTGATATCTAAATGTTTTCCTAATTTGTTTGAGAACAGATCACTGATGTGTAACTACAAGTTGTGGTGAGACCTCTGTGGAAATGTAGCCAACAGGCACTGGTCAGGTACAGGATGAAGCCCTATAAAACCTCAAGTCTCAGTCAACTACTGAAATTCATAACAGAGGTTCAGCTCTGAAGAATACAGTGGAAGGGCACAAAGGATGCAATCAAAGTATGCACTGTGCATTGGTACAATGTTATATGAAGGAATTCTGCTTTAGGCAGAATGGGCGTAGAAAAATGGCTTGTAGCAAACACCGACCAGAAGGTGGCATTAGACACATTAAGTTTTTGATATTCAAAGCTGCACTCACCCTACATGCAGCTGCTCTCCTGAATACCTAAGAACACCTTTGTCTTTATTGTTTCAACTCTTTATTGTTACAATAATCCGAAATGTTCTGGGTTAGCCTCCGAGAAAGAGTGGAGATTCTACATATTATCACAAAATAAGGCAGCCCACAAATTCTGCAGTGAATGTATTAATTCTACGTGAAAACCACTGTTAAGCACATATCAAGACTGTTATTATTTAGGGATTCTCTCTCTTGTTAACAAAGGAGTTCTTTTAGGTCATTCCTTTCTTCTCCATTAAATAGCAGCAGTCCCCAGCCACCTGCCCCACAAGCTTCTGGATGAGAAGCTGCGTGAAGGCAATACCTCACTGCTCCATCACTGCTTTTACATTACCCCACCCCCTCCACCCTGAAATCCAAAAAGTATCCCCTTCATGGAAATGCAGACAAATTGTATTACTGAGCTGGCTCAAGAACTTTATTCCTAGCAAGATTAATTTGTAATTGCTTTAAGCCTAATTAAAATTAAGATCATATTAAAGGTTCACTACCGCACTTGATCATTGCAAAGGAGATTATAAATTGAAATAGTGTTGGGGGCCAGGGATAATGCAGTGCTGAATGGATGTGGCATTTTTATCAATACTAAAAATTTGTTCTTTGCGCTTTAAGTTATTGAATGATGCAACCTTACGAAGTGCTGAATGCAAAACTAATCATTTGCTTTTGAGTAGGAGCTAATGTAGTGCAAACAATGAAGGTTGATCACAGATTCCTCATTTGCATCTGTACCTACTGCAGAACATACACTTCCCAGTTGATAGGATTCATTCTCTTGTTGGAAACTACTATCCTGCTTCAGCCTGCCATCTCACCGGTTTACGGGAGCGCTCCTCACTCTGCCTCCTCAAAACTAACTGGATGAGCAAAAATCCATTCCTTCAATTGTTGAAGGCAGCTGGGTTTGCCAGTAGGGACTGGGGAACGCTCACACAAGTTGTTGAGCTGGTAGGTCAGAAGAGGTGACAACGTCTGGTAGCAGAATGGTGAGAGGGCTCTGGAAGCGGCAGCTCCACCGCGTGAAGCGGTTGGAGCAACGAACACTGCAAAATTCCTTTGGAAAGGCCTGACAGCTTGAGATGTGCAGCAGTGCGTTACAAGGACATGCATGGCTGAACAAATGAAAAAGGGTAATTCAGACTTCAAATACAGACCATGTTGATTAAACAAAGAAGGACGCTACTTACAGCAGGAGACTAGGAATTAGGAGTCCTGAGCCCTACTCTCACACTGCTGCTGACTGCCTGTCTGACTGTAAATCAACACTTAAAACTGAACTTTCTCAGTAAAACAGGATTAATAATATCCTCACATCCCTGTAAAGCACCATGAAACCTCTGGATGCTGTGCACTCTAAATGCAAGTATCACTGAAGTATTTATTAAAGGAACATGTGAAGACTATTCACTAAGTAGAAGCTCCTTTGCTGGCTCTACATACTCATTAATCAAATATGTTTTATGCAAAATACTGGTGTCAGAGTTCAAGAAAGGTCTAAAGCAGACAGATTGGAGGTGGTTGCAAGAACTGTGATGGAATTAGGCAGCTGATTGAACTACTTCTCCAAATGTTTGCAGTTTTTGTACAAAAAAGTCTAGTAAAACAACTGTCAGCAAAGAAAATTTCTGTGCTGAGAGAAATGTGTCAAGTCTGAGTGCAGAGTGAAGGAAGAGAGAAATTCCACAGTCAATTTGATAAGATTTTTTAGCCCTTAAATAGCCAGTTAAATGACTTACAGGAATACAAAGTAACGTAAAGCTTGTATGTAAATGGTACCTGTCCTGGACTGAGTGTAACGACATGGGCTGTTGAGTTCCTAAACTTGGGAAAGCGTTTCAGATCAGGATTGGCAATGTTGACTTTGCTGAATATGCTGGATTCCTCATAGGGGATCCTGGTAGGATAAAGGAAACTGGTGTCCCCAGGTGGGAAGAGGTGCCATCTCTTCCTGAAAATAGAGAGAAGATAAAAACGTATTCAGTGCATGTCACTTACAGCAAAGAACTAAAGGCAGTAGCAAGGTTTTCAATAAAACATAAATCTGCCTTCGCTGTGTGAATCTCCTACGCAGTGAGAACACAGGCAGTGCTTACAGGCTGTCTCCTGTAAGTGTTTTTAAAATATTCCACTTTTTAATTTTTTAACTGGAAAGATTTACAGCTTCTCACCAATTATTTCTAAAAGGCAGATAAAATAAAATTTAAAAAAAAAGCTCTCCCATCTGGTTTCTCCTTCCTGCCTTTTACATGGAGCATGTACAGATGCTCAGAGAATTAAAAATTGCTCTATAAACTAAAGGAAATAGTTTTGTTAGAGACAATGTATTTTTTTTCAGTGAATGAATGGTTTTCAGAATCTATGTTTGTTTTGAAAGAAGGGCATTGTGTGTTTAGGATGGCAACAGTAAAAAATTATGGACATGATCTTCTGTTCCCTATTACCAGCTGGAGTACTTACAAGGCTGTTGGTCACAAACCCTTCATTCTCAGTAAAAATCACCTTAATGCTCCCACGCCAAAGATGGCACTAATAAAACCCAGACACATCCACAGACATAAGTGTCCTGAAACATCTGAATTTTTTGTGTTATTAGTATCACATGATGAAAATGTGGCTTGTGTGGGCCACTGGGTTTAAGAACTTACCGGTGTGACTAAATGCCCAGATGGAGCACAACAGGGTTCTTTTGTTCCTTTTCTGGGGGCACTCCTGTGCCAGGTTGCTCTCTATGTGCCCAAAGAAGCTTGTGAACGCACCACAGTGCAGGGCCAAGCAGAGCTGAGGCACAGACCTTGTCCTCAGGGGTTAATGTCTCTATTTCACTTACATAGACCAGAGCAAAGAGAAAAAGAAGAATATGCCAGAACTGGTGGTGCCAGTTTTATGGGTACTATAAATTAAATATCTTAGTGGGTACATGTTATTTAGAAATAGAAGTTTTATATGGTGGTACTTTAGGTGATAGAAAAAAACAGAAGGAATACACAAAGAGAGAATTTATTACATTTAAGAGGTGTATACACTAAGCAATGGAAAGGTAAAGGTGGCACTTTACAGCCCAGTTGGACAACTTGTGCAGCTCTCCTCTTGGTTTTGGACTCTAGCAAGAGCTTTTCTTTTTGTTCCTTTTCCTTGCTATTCACTTCTTGCTTTTTGTCTACTGCTTCTGGTTGTCAGTTCTAAGTCACAGATCTGAAAATAGGAGAAAAGCAACCAAATGGCAAAAAACCAGAAGAGATAGGAATAGCAGGATAGCCAGAACTGGAGAGACCAGCACAGACGGAAGTGCCATGGGCCGCTGACGTTTCTTGGTAATTACCAAAACTACTGCTGGGTACAAGCACAAAAACAAGTTCTTCTGAAACTCAAGCCTTCTTGCAACTTTATTTTGCCCTCCAAGTTAAATCCTCTGAAGGGGCAGAGAATGACTAGGTTAGGAGGCTCAGGGTTAATCCTGAAGGCTCATAACAAAGCAATATCATGAAGCAAAAAATTAACAAGCCCGAGGGATGCAAGGAGGAAATTCAAGATAGCAACAAAGGGCTAAGGAGTCGTCCCTGGCTTTCCTGCAAAGGCAAATCTATTTAAGTTTAGCATAAGCTTATATTCTTTTACAAAGCTTGTCTTGTTTGTGAGTCTC